CATAAAATAATTATATAGCATGTATAAATAAATCTCAAATTTTGTAGAAAATATAAAAGCAATATTAAATTTTAAAATCATATGTATATTGGGAATAATATTACTGAAAATAATATTGTTATATCTTTATCATTAAAATCTACATGTAATAAATATCGAAGAATTTCTAAATAAATCACAAAACTGACAATTTGATAATACTCAATAAATCTATATATTGAGTAATATATTTTACATGTAACAGTAAAAAGTTGCAATCATCATCGATCCTTTTGTAAAATTTCTCGCATCATTTGTCTTCATTATTTGCGTCTCATCCATTGTTTTATTTTGTCGCAAAGTTTCTCGGAAAAATCGTGTGGCAACATTCGTAAAAATTACTCCATTACACAGCAAACAAGGCAATTCAAATACTGTCCTTTTTATCTCCTCTGAAACGGAATTTAATCTTTCTAAAATAATTTCAACAACAATATATTATAAAATATAAATATATTATAAAATTTAAAAATACATATATAATATTTATTAATGATCTTCCTTAATTTTTTATTGAATTATGATTACTTAAATAAAATATGGCAAAATAGATGTTAAACTCGCATTTCACATAAAAAATGTAAAAGCTAAAGTGTGCAAAAGATCGATAAAAAAAAACTTCGCAGGTTGTAAAATGGTATCATCAATTATTATAACAACGATTTTAAAAAACAAATAAAATAATTGGAAAGAGAAATCTTTCTTCTCGATTTCTCTTCGCTCAAAGTTGACTTACCTTAAAAGCTCGCTAAAAGCTCCGTAATACATCTTGTTCGGATTAGGTAAAGAAAATTTGTATAGGCAGTTTACTTTAAAAGTACTATATTTATAATCCGTTCCGTGTGTATCTTCTTAATAATTGTATTGTAGAGAGTTTATATACAAATGTGTACACTCTGTACATTTTATTCTATTATATATATTAAACATTAACACGTAATCTGTACACAAATTTCGAGTACTCGATTTAAATTCTGACTTGTCCCAAAACTGTGTTTATAAACATATTTCTCGATCATAATTAATACACGCACTATTTTCACGCGTTTTTGATCGATTTAATTTAATTGACTAATTTAATTTGCGATCTGGTCATGGATATAAAATTCTGCGCACGCAAGGTCGTATTTTTTGAGTTTTTTGGTATGTGTGTATTTCTGCGTGAAGGCAGAGTTGAGAGCCGAGCAAAAAGGTGCATATAGCATAAAAAGACATATATAGACAAATCATACTTATTAATAAAGTATACAAATATTGATAATACTGTTGCATCAGATATATACGATTATATATATATATATATATATATATATATATATATATATATA